AAAATGTAGTTGTTTATTATTAACGACAACAGTTGAATTTTTGTAACTGGGAATAGTTTTATTGTCAGTCCTTGTCACTCCCAAAGTTGATGGATATGACCACATATTTGCACATTGAAGATTATACATGTTTCATTGTGAATACTGTAATAATTAAAAACTTGATTTTCAGAAAACAAGTGTAGTCAAGAGGTTTTCTGGTTTGCATCAGGGAGTGCGTTTTAAACTATAGCGAGAATTAGTTGAATAATAATAAATTGATTTTGTGATGGAATGTGAAGAAATCAAAATAGCCACTCTGGGGAAATTTTGAATCTTTTATTCTTTACTTTTTTTCTTTTAGCTAAATATCTCTTTGCCTTCACCAATTTTGGTATGTTTCATTGTTCTATTACAAGTTATACAAAACGATGGATCAGCCAAGACACTGTCTCTTCAGTCCAAAACCTTGATTTTGTTAAGGGATGGGTGGGGCAGAAGATCAAAGTCTTTATTCCCTCTCATGGACTTTCTAAAAAAATAGTAAAGACAGATAAAACAAGAGCAAAAGTTGACAAAATTTTGAAGTCGTTGACCATCAGTGTCAGGCACCCTCATGAAGTTTGAACTTGTTTGGGTGCTGCTTGTTTGGGAGGGAAAGAAGTCAAAAAGATCTCCAATCATCTCTACTAGGTTAACAGAGCTGCACCAACGATAAACTAAGTTGAATGTCTTAAACCAACTCTTGTCATCTTTTAATACTATACAAATCCCCAGGGGAGGGGGACTCCCATATAAAAAAGATGGGGGTACTCATCAAACCTTTTAGGGATTAAAAAGCTGTTTTGGTTCATCTCAAGGTGTTCAGCCTCAAAAGCACCACAGCGGGAGATTTTGTGGAACCTCTTGGGGTATAGAGCCCAAAAGATATGACGGGAAATTGGGTTTTGTTTTAGAATTGGTACCTCGTAAGGGTGAAAAATTTCAAGCCACACCCACCAACCAGGATCTTGGTAGCTCTTAGGGTTTTTTTTCAAAATTTCTGACCAGCACCCCCATCCTTTTTGTATGGGAGTCCCCCACAGGTACAAGTCACCCAATGATACTGTACAAATCACCCACTGATGTTGTATAGATCACCTACTGATACAGCACAGACAACCCACTAACACTGTATTACTCACTTACATCATGATGTATTTATACTGTAAGGATCACCTTTTTAATTAAATTGCACAGACCACCCAGTAAAATTGTGCATAACACCCACTCATACTTTTAGACCACACACTAATTCTGTAGAGATCAAACAATGATATAATACTTCACAGACCATCCACTTAGACTGCACAGTGCCCCTACTGATACTGCAAAGACCACCTACTGATACTGTACAGTCCACCTACAGATACTGCACAGTCCAACTACTGATACTGCACAGTTCACCTACTGATACTACACAGTCTACCAACTGATACTGCACAGTCTACCTACTAATACTGCACAGTCCACCTACTGATACTGCACAGTCCAACTACTGATACTGCACAGTCCACCAGCTGATACAGCACAATCAACCTGCTGATACTGCACAGTCAACCTGCTACTGCACAGTCTACCAACTGATACTGCACAGTCTACCAACTGATACTTCACATTTCACCCACTAATACCGCACAGTCCAACTACTGATACTTCACATTTCACCCACTAATACTGCACAGTCAACCTACTGATACTGCACAGTCCACCTGCTGATACTGCAGTCTACCAACTGATACTACACAGTCCACCTGCTGATACTGCACAGTCTACCAATCGATACTGCACAGTCCACCTACTGATACTACACAGTTCACCCACTGATACTGCACAGTCCAACTACTGATACTGCAGAGTTCACCCACTAATACTGCACATTCCACCTACTGATACTGCACAGTCCACCTACTGATACTACACAGTTCACCCACTGATACTGCACAGTCCAACTACTGATACTGCAGAGTTCACCCACTGATACTGCACAGTCCACCTACTGATACTGCAGAGTTCACCCACTAATACTGCACAGCTGTCCACCTACTGATACTGCACAGTCCAACTATTGATACTGCAGAGTTCACCCACTAATACTGCACATTCCATCTACTGATACTACACAGTTCACCCACTGATACTGCACAGTCCAACTACTGATACTGCAGAGTTCACCCACTGATACTGCACAGTCCACCTACTGATACTGCACAGTCCAACTATTGATACTGCAGAGTTCACCCACTAATACTGCACATTCCATCTACTGATACTACACAGTTCACCCACTGATACTGCACAGTCCAACTACTGATACTGCAGAGTTCACCCACTGATACTGCACAGTCCACCTACTGATACTGCACAGTCCAACTACTGATACTGCAGAGTTCACCCACTAATACTGCACAGTCCACCTACTGATACTGCACTGGTTTACCTACTGATACTGCACAGATCACCTACTGATACTGCACAGTCCACCTACAGCACAGTCCACCTTCTGAAAGGTATAAACCATCCACAGACAACCCACTTATACTGTACAGACCACCCACTGTTACCATACAGATCACTCACTGAGAATATACAGACCACCCACTGGTATTGTGTAGACCACCCAAAATAATAGCAAAAACAGATACTGTATCTCATTGATGAATAACCTCTTACAAAGATGTTCTTTGGCCTGGTCATGCAAAAGGAGCATATTATTGCTATTATTTTTAATCCCTGTGTGCTGAAACATGACATGATTATCTGACTGAATGCCTAGTTGATTTGAATGAGAATAGCTTAGCTGCCTGCAGCCACATTCTTCGCATGCATGAAATTACCTAGTGTGACTGCAAGCTTATTAGGAAGCAAGATAAAAGCTTGTCACTCGTGTACAAAAATACTACATTCAGGCAAGTTTGTGTTTTCTCATTTTAAAATTCCTGACAGGGAAAATATTGAAAGGCTAGAAATCCGAGCTTACAAAATGGCTGAAGATAAAGATAACTTCCAATAATACTGTGTGACTTGCTAATGACCAGCGGTGAAATAAAACCACAAGAAAACACTGCAAGCCAAAATGGCAATATTTTGCATCAGCCTTCTGATTCATATCATAAAAATTACTGAGCAATGGTTGAACATCTGTTTTCAGTAAAAGTCAATGAGTTGTCCTCAACTAATATAGGTTTACAAAAAAGTTGTAAACAACTTGAAAGCCGGCCAAATATAATTCTAAGATCATTTAAAAGAAAAGGCCAACTTATATTGATTGCTATGGCAAACTTGTCAGATAAATCCATCCAGAACAATGTTATATCTGTAATACCCTTGTGGTTTGTGGTCAGAACAGCTGAAGAATAACTTTCATCAATTCCAATGAAGTTTTTGATACTTTGTTTCAAAGTTTGAATATTAATTTGAAAAGCAATCACTCAACTGGAACGTTCAGTGGATAGTGAATCATTTTATGCAAATCCTTCTGTCTCTGTTCCTGGGGGGAAGCCTCTTTGAAAACAGAGGTTTTAAAATACGTTTGTTTAATGAAATGTTTTTTTCAGTAATAAAATATTTAAGCAATCAAAATATTTGTTTGTTTCCCTTTCATGCAGTAATTTGATGAGTGAATATTTAATTTCGAAACTGGTGAGAGGAAAGCTAAATTCACACTGACAGAAGCATATGTGATAAATTCTGAAATATGGAACACTATATATATCAAGCAGCATTCACTGCTACTGGTCACATGTTCAAAAATGTGATTTTCAATCTTTCAATCACTGTGGCCCTTTAACATCATTTTAGGGTTGGCTAGACAAACTGCATGGCATGCACAGTGCACCAACTTCTTGACTAAACACAGAGCTTTCAGGACTGTATTATTGATCATGCATGATTCAATAACCAAGACTTAAGACCAAGATAGGGCAGTAGCTGTGCCACTGTTGGATCTAATCTCTGTCAAATTGTTGGTCAGGAAATGTTGTACAGTTATAAGTGTGTCAAACTAAGCCTGATTAGTATAAATCCAATTGCGTTCTATCACAAATGCTGTTCTCTAATTCGCTACGCTTTTCACTATCTATTCTCTATTCTATTCTCACCCTCCCTCTCCCAATAAGATTACCATGCAAGTAAGCACACAAATTGATAATGACAATAAATTGTTAACATCTGCGACGTTATTGTAACTTCCATGAATATGAGAGGAGCATGAGGAATATTGAACAAGACAGTTGTTGTTAAAAATTGTTAAATTTACATCAGTTTGTATGTCTAAGTGGCAAGAGCTGTCAAGTAAACATCTTTAAATGGTGCAACTTTTGAAAGTATCATTTGAAGCAAATTTTAAACAGTGATTGATGCTCAGTGCTGTTGTTTGTATACTGAGACAGTGGTACATATGTTAACTATTTAACAACAACCCATAAACAGATTACAAGTTATTGCTTATCCATAATTTAGGAGAATAAAGCACAAAGACAAGTACAATGAACGGAAGATCTCTATTTCGTTTCAGTCCATCATACTCTCAGAAGAGCTCCAAAATTTTGTTCTAAAATGAACTACTGGTTAAGTAGGCGAGGTAATTTCATGAGCTATGTTAATATTAATAATAATTATAAATCCTACATATACAGTGTTCTCTTCTCATTCGATCCTAATATCTGAGACTTTGACACAATCAACAAGACCCAGCATTAGAAATAAGAGGATCGAAAGGGTACAAGCTTAAAAACCATGGCATTTGCACGTTATCATTACTGTAAATTTACAGGGTATATTGTGACATGAATAAAAATTTCAATCAAAAATAAAAAAAATTAATGAATATCTTTGGTCTTTCTTTTAATTGTGTGTATTGAGATGCAGTTGGAAGAAGATTAATTCTGAATTCTCCCAAAAGTACAGTACATTATGGTGGAGAGTATTATGCAAATGAACTTGTAGAGAGGTTTAAAATCCACATGCAAAACTAATGTTGGCCAGTGGCTTTGGTCTTTTTGTTCTACTTCGTTGAACCACATCATTATCTTGAAGTCACTGTACGAAGGGTTTCCTCCATAACCAGAATCTCTTTCCATTTTATACGAATTGTATTTCATGTCGACGTTGACACCAGCTTGATGAATTTCACGCAATTACCATTTCCTTGAGACATCCAGCAATGTTTCTTGGAAGGATTTCTTGATAATGCTGAAGGCTCATGCTCATCGATTTAGTATAATCCACATCCTTTGAGGTTATTGGCAATTATTGTATCAGTAACAGCATTAAATACAAAAGTGATATTGTGAGTGTCTGTTGCACATGTAAGATGAACATATATCTCTTTTTCATCGTTCAAGTTTTTTGCCTCAAATTGTTTCCTAATGTAGGCACACCCATCTTCATATGTATTTGGACCTGCAAAAAAACGGGAAAAAAATTAGTAGTAAAATGAACATCTAGGCTTGGCATCCAAGTGAGCAGATAACCTTATCAGGTAAATAAAGGCCCATTCAGTGAGCAACCTTTCTGCGCAGTTGACCATATAACTAGACAGCAGGTCTGCTAGCATGATGGCATAGAAATTGAAGCCAAGCCAGCAAATTGAGGGTAGGAAACTACATCATATAGGCAAGCTATATCTTAAAGGGAAATGTATGCAAACAGTAGACAGAGATACATGAACATCTACTGCAGAATTCCAAAAGTAACCACAAACAACCTTTGTTACTTTTGGATTTAACAGGTTTTTTCCTATCAATACTTTCAGAGGGGGTTTTCTTTTGGGTAGCCAAAACATGTGATGTCCAGGGTTGATTCAATTCCCTAAGAGCCTGTAGGATATCACCAGCACTAAATGACAGCATAACGTAACATGACTTCTACTGTTAATAAAGAACAATTAGGGTGATTAAAATAACAAAAGGATACAAGATGAAGAAAAAAACTAACATCACAACAGAACAATCAATCTACTGTTGAACCTCTCTAATAAGGACACTGAAGGGGCAGATCTGAGTGTCCTTTTTCAGGAGGTGTCCTCAACATTTAAACAAATTCTGGTCTGTCTGGGACCAAGTAAACTACCTGTAACCGGAAGTCACCTGGGACCACGATTTATGCACTGGGAAAAGTTATATGATGTTAATTTTATGGCTGAAAGGTTGGAGAACTTTGGGCCAGAATAGAATTCTTTGAAACATATTTGACCAACACAGTGCAAAGTTAAATTTCATTTTGGCATAATAAGCCTAGAAAATGGCTGAGTTTCACCAATACAGTGCTCTTTTACATAGAACAGGGAACACTACAACATTGTTGAAATAACTACATGTTATTCCAAAATGCTTTATCTCCAAATTAAGGAAATTTTTTCAGGAAGCTCATAATATGTAAGTGCAAGTTCAGCTACTTACAATCACATTTAGATAATGTTAAATGAAAACCACTTATTAGTAAACTTGTTGATCAAAAACTTACCTGAATAATCTGGAAAACATATTGTGAGTGGTGAAGTTGTTATTTTTTCTTCAAATAAATCCTTTTTGTTGAGGAAGAGTATAACTGACGTTTCAACAAACCATCTGTTGTTGACTATTGACTCAAACAATTTTAAACTTTCTTCCATCCGATTCTGTAGGAAAATAGTAAGTCATTTAGAATAATCAGCTCTTGCTACAATTTCTTGAGCAATTAAGAACTGTTACTTTATGGCTAAGACTTGCCAATATAGGTGTTGTGATTGGCAGTTAGAACCACATTTTCTTCAGCTGATACACACAGGCATTATGTCAAACCATCTTAATGCAGCCCAGCTGGATGGCAGAAACTGTGAGTAATTAGTAAAATGTGGATGGGAGCCATGTGAAAAACTTCTCATGAACTCTTAGTGGCTCAGACATCTACAGAGAATATTACCCTTGGTCATTCTTGTACAGGCTTTGCCACCCTCGGCCTTGCCTCACAAAGACCTAAGGCAATGTTCTCAAAGTAAATCAAAATGGTAGTGGAGCAAAATGAGTTCCAGAAATAGAGTGTAATGAAAGATCTCAAAAACAGTCATGATATAGTGCAAAGTAGATCTAAATAGTGTCTGGTCTGTGTAAAATTGTTACTTGATTGGTAGTTTTTAGAAGGCAAGTAACCAGTTCAGGGCTTCAAATAATTTCCCAGCTGGCACTGGTCAAATTATCCGGTCAAAACTATTTTTGCTTCGACATATCCCATTTTTGGCAGCACAAAAATCGATTAAGTCTTATCGCTATAAAAGTGCCCCCTACCCCCTTCACATGATGTTTAAATATGAAACAAGAAGATCTGTTAGATCTTATAACCACACTCTTAACATTTAACTGT